GCGCTTGGCACTGCTCGCCTGTTGCAGTTCCTCCTCATCACTGGAGTCCTCCTCCATACCGCGCTTCGGATTACCATTGCCCGGCTCATGGCCGCTACCCGCCGAGGAATCATCGCTCTCGGAGCCATCCTCAATGGCATCACCTTTCTGACCACGCAGCGCCTTGTCGCTGATTATAAGACGACCGTCATCGGCGGTCTTGAAGCCACCATTAGCCGCCTGTGGCTTCGATTTCGACTGTTTGCTGGGCACGGCAGCAGCAGCAGCTGCAGAGCCACTTGCTGCAGAAAAAAATTGGGTTAGAGGCTGGACAGATTTTGGCATAGATCATGGAGCTTACTCAGCACATTGCCAATTGACTTAAGATCGGCCAGATCGACAATCTCATCGGCATCTTCGCGTATGTAGGTGCTGCGCGCTTGCTTAGACTTGGACTTTGTCTTGGACGTACGATTCTTGGCAGTAGCGCCGCCTTCCTCAGTTTCCATATCCTCCGGCAAATCTGAGTCCGAGTCGGCCAAAATGTCATCGATACTGCAAATAGGTTATGGAGCTGTTGCTTTAGCTGAACACGATTGAAATTCTCGTGAAAACTTACGTATAGCTTTTCTGCTCCAGATCCCCTACGAGCTCATCATCAGAGCTCTCGGCCTGGGCATCCTCGTTCTGCTTTTTGCGTGTATCACGACGCATTTGCTTGCGTATCTTTTTGAGACGGCGATGTGTAACCTCATCATCACCAGGCACAAAACGTGCCAGCTCCTCTGTGGTAAAGCGTTTGCACAGTTTTTTGAGGAAGTAACCAATCTGTATGCGACAATAGCGCTTCGTATCCTTTGTCATGGCCGAAAGGGAACGCATCTGTAATAGTCGAATGGCTAGATATATAATTGATTGATTGATATAGCTAGACTGCACTTACAATCGTCTCCAGATGATTGGCCACCAGCGGTATGGGCATCACCTTAATAAATGTGATGAGAAAGGCGACGGCTGCCTCGGCCTGATGGCGGGACTTCTGCACCAGAAAGACCGAAACCTGCTGTAGCACAAACTCCAATGTGCTAACCGTTAGGTGTTGGCCCTGTTGCTGGAGCACAGCACGAAAGGCGAGAATCGTATTTGTTGTTAACGATTCGTCGCCGGTAAAGCCAGCTGTCAGGATGTCAACAAACTCATTTATCTTGCCAGCCTCCTGATACAGAGTGGCAATCTGCTTGATCAGCTGTTCGGCCACCTGCTCCTTGCGTGTCGAGAACTCCTTATAACTAAGCACCGCTTCCGGAATGGCCTTCATCACCAACTGATCGTTGTATGTCAGCTTGCTGCGGCAGTCCAGCAGCGATTTGAGGCAACTGTTGATTGATAAAAAAAAAAAGAAAAGAAAATGATTGGATTGAAAGTGGGAAAGAAACTGATTTTCCAACCATCTGAATGGAATTTTGTGCAAACAAAGCTTCTGTGATCCTACTTACTGTAAACGAGACGCCTGGCAAACGCTGCAGGTGGTATTGAAGGCCTCCAGAAGTATCTGCTGCAACGAAATGCAGTTCTTGCGCGTAAATTTCTGGCATGAGGGCAGCTCCGAGGTCATAAGCTCGCGCAGCAGCCTGCCAGAGGACAACCGAAAAGCATTTATAGTAGATGGTGAAAATGGATATGTAAGTGGTCTTACTCATATGTCTTGCGCTGCTGCTTCTTCATCTTCTGTTCGTCGCGCGCCACCAATTTGGACTTGTCGTTGCGCAGCACGGGCGCCATATATTTCTCGAAATAGGCCTCGATGCCGCGACACTTTTGGACACGAACAATGGCCGCATTGATGTCAAAGTACGCATCATATTCAAAGCTGGCAACTGCACTTTCCGCCAGCAGACTCTGGGCGCTTTCAAAGAGTTGCGTTTGAACCTCGGCGGGCGCACGACCGATATACACACGTATGACGTCCAGGGCGCGTTTCCGTAGATCTGCCTCGTATGTGCCGCTGGGCTTTTGTGTATAGATGTTGAAGAGGCGCGGCAGAAAATTGCGCGCATACTGTCCAATTGCCGCATGGCATTCGGGACTCTGGCTATCGTCTAACAGCTCCAATAGACCATCATAGATGGGCGCACGAAATTCGGGATTGTGCTCCAAAGCATCGCCCAGTGTGGGCGCCAGTTTGCGCAAATATTCCGGATCGCGTGGCTGTCGACAGAAACCCGGAAACAGACCCCACAGCTGACAGCATAAAAGCTCATAGATGTGCGCCTTGGACAGATTCTTTTCCTCCAACGAATACTTGCGCCACTGAGACTGACTATTCAATGCCAATGGCACAACATGCTCCTTGAAGAACTGCAAACTGGCACCGTTGGAGCCCTCGCGCATCAATGGCAACAGCCACGAACGCTCCAGGGACAGTTCACCCTTGGCATCGCTCAATGGTAATGCACGCAGCACCAGCTCGGGCCCGAGCGCCTTAATTGCGCTGATCAGCGTGTGCTCAATCTGCAAACGCAAAGCGCCCTGGCTCTCATAGCGTTTGCCAATGGTTGACAACGAGGGAATCAGCTCGGATCTGGGTGTGCGAGAGAATGAGAGAGAGAGAGAGATAGAGAGAGAGAGACAAAAATTAACATTGCTATACTTGAGCTAAGGGATACCCTGTAGACGGTTTCACCTACCCAAAGTACTTGCCGCACGCCTCGAAGACAATGGAGAAGATGAGTATAACATATTTGGAGATCTCGCCGAAGGGTGCATTAAGCACCTTGTGCAGGGCGCCAATTATTTTGGTTACAGATGCACGATATTGATCGGCCAGCTGCTTTGTGGCACAGGCACGCGACACACAATCCTGCAGCAGCTCCTTAATGCAATTTGACACGCCAACGACCAGTTCACCGCGCTCCGACAGCCACAGATCGGTGGTGCAGATGTCAAAGAGACGCGGCAGCGCTTGCATACACAAATCCAATTGCAGTGCAGCCAAATGTAGATGCCCCTCCTTGAGCACCGTGATCCAGGCAAGCGTTTGCCGCACATCGCTGCGATCCGGCCGATACTCGTGTATGGCAGCAAGCAGCTTGGCGCACAGCGTCGCATTCAGATTGATGCTGCGCGTAAGGAAGAGAGCGTGCAGTGCCTGGAAGCAGTTGGTGCGCACCAGCACATTGGCAGCGGTCATTATGGAGAGCAAATGCTCACAAACGCTGCGTATATCCTCGGTGCAAAAGCCGGCCAGCGTATCCTTGAGCAATGCGAGCGTATGCAAGACTGTTGTCTGTGCATTGGCCAGCACTTCGGGCTTAAATTGGGCCAGACAAAATTTCGTTACACGATTACTGGCCGGATGATGCTTAATCTTAGCCGCCGCCGCCGCCTGCTGCTGCTGTTCGTCCTTATTATCCACATCCTTAGCGCTGTCGACAGGCGTTGGTGGCAACATAAAACAGCTGCCATGTATGATTGAGACCACGGCATGCTGTGCCGCCTTTCGTATTTTGGGTTTGGAGTGAATGCTAAAGGCGAGCAACGCATCAAAGTACTGAAATGTCGAGCTGTATGTCCATGTCGCATAGTCCTGAGCGCGCAGCAGCACCGACAAGCAGCCAATTAACTGCAATTAGACGCGAAGCAGAGATTTTGTAAAATACAATTTGAATAATAATAAATCGAATGGTCAGCGTATGTTAGCATAATAGGTTATGCAAAATACATTTCAGACTGATCAGCATAGGATCAGGGTTTCATTACTTACATATCGTATGACGGATTGGCTGCTGGAGTCAATGAAGCGCTTCAGAAGCTGCTGTAGCGTTGCGGCTGTCTGATCAAAGCGTTTGCGCAGCACCGGCGCCGGTACAGACTTGATGCCCATTGAGAGGAGTGCAACGCCGGCAATGATGTCGCGCTCCTCGCTGGCCGCCTCAATTTGGCTGATGAGCAGCAGAAAGTATTCGGTAGAAGATTCGGTGCCGCCGCGTTCGCGTATTATTTCCGTTAGGGCGCTTAAAATCGCCAGCATCTCCTTGTGCAAATCGGATGAGGCGCGAAAGCCAGTGAGCAGCTTCTTGAAGCTCATATTGCTGCAGCTACTGTAGTTAGAGGCAAAGGTCTGGAAGGTCTTGAATGTGCCAGGCTGTGTGCCGGTGCCAGTACCCGTGCCAGACATGCCATCATCATCGTCCAGCGTAAAGGACATCAGGCTGCCGGCAACATCGTTAACGGTCGTCGTCTCTGCATTGTACGCTTGACGCTGTTCGTGTTTATGCAGTGCCTCCATTGTAAGTCCATTGGCGGAACCAGATGCCGCTGTACATTGTTAGTAAAGACATTTTATAGTTTTTGTAATGCTGGCGTGTTTATTGCCTTTAGCTTACCCAGATTCAAATTTGGTTGAAAGAAACGCGACTTGGCTTTCAGGCGATGTTTCATTTGCTCAGGATTCGATACAGCGGACTGGCCCTTGCTCCAGTTCTTGCCTTTACCATGGCGTTTCAATTTCGAACGAAATTTACCCATTGTCGTTGGTTCTGAGTGCGAGTGCAACGCACAGAAAATGTAGTTTTCAAAATGCCAAATCAAACACGTGCAGCACACAGAAGTTAGAGCAACATGTTTTTCTCAGTCGTATTTCTTATCGATATTTTTTGACGATTATCGGAACCGATCGATATCGAACCGACTCAGATAGGCATTTATACCTGTCTGAAGACCCTCTGAGTTAATTGAGTTTGCACGTGAAGATAATTAACATTTCTTAACCGTTTTTTCCGAAGTAAAACACGTGAAACGATATCTTATCAAATCAGCAACTGTTTGCATTTGCTAAGCGCAGTTAATCAGAGTCGTGCACCTTATCGATATATCGTACCCGACCATTACTCAAACTACCAACGCTAACGCAACTAAAGCGACAAAAACAAAACAGAGAGTCAGCTGAGCAGGGTTGCCAGCTGTTTTCTTGGGGCATATTCTATCGATAGTGGCAGCGATATAAGCCCATCTCTACAATGAAAACAAATAACTCTCGTGCAATACTTTTGAGCTCAACCGCTAGTATTATTAACATAAAGAGCAGCTAACAAAAGAAACCGCGCAGCCCAACACACAATGTGGCAGACGCTGCTCGGCCTCAGTTGTCTCTAAAGCAAGCGGGCGGACGGACGAGCAGCAAAGCAATCAACAATAACCAAAACAACAAAAATAGCGACAAGAACGTAATAACAACAATAACAATGAAACAATTTCATTTCATTAAATGTATGTAAATGCGTAACAGACCCTAGCGAGCGCACCTTCACCTCACCTACTCATTGCCAACGCCGGAGCCAGCAGTAATGAGTTGCCATCGCATAAATGAGCACACCACAAACAGTAATAACAGAACGTACATAAAGAATAAACAAATAAAAATCAAAACAACACCTGAGGGCGAACAGCGACAAACACAAAGACAGCGACGACGACGACGCTGCCGGTGAGAACCTGAACCCAGTTCCAAGTCAACCCAACATAAGCAAAGCGCAAAGAAAGAAAGTAAGCTTCAAGTGAAAATTAGGCCAACATTTGCAACAGCCGCAAACGTTGGCTAACAAGCGGCAGCAACGGCAACAAGAAGAAGGCATAGAAGAAGAAAGAAGAAGAAGAGCAGAGAGAGAGAGAGAGAGAGAACCGTATCCATGAAACCTTAGCCATAAACAGCCGCAACAATACCTCAAAATGGACTTTCTGGCCAATTTCATAAAGAACCCACAAAGTATGTTGTGTAAGTATTGCAGCCCTTATCATCCCTTTTATATGTTATATATAAAACTGTGTGGACTGACTGACGGACTGACTGACTGACGGACAGACTGATTGATTGCCAGCCGAAAGAATCTCTGAAAAAAAAGGGAATAGATTTGTTTGCAAAGCTCTATACATCATTCCACCCACACCAGCGGAATATGCGTGAAAAACTGTTTGTCAGAATCGCGTCCTTCAACGGATTCAAACCAATCCACCCTTCTGGGTGAATTAAGGGCGAATTCTACTATGTTAACAACAAATTAAAGATAACAAAATGTATATATTGCCGCTCAATATGCATGTAAATACACATATATCTAAGTATCTTTATCGTTATCTACAGCTACGTACATTGATCTGGACTATTCGCTATGGCTCTATCGATTTCTAACGCCGCTGATTGTCACATTCCTGCTTCCGCTCGTCTTCGTGGCGCTTATCTATATATCATTTTTGGTGCTCTTCATCTACAAGCTGCACAGGTAAGTCCAGGGCACGAAAGTGCTTAGGTTAGCATACATACATACATATATATGCCATATATAGTAGTACCTGGTACATACATATACATATATCTAGAATATACGCTGGCAATGCATTTCTGTCATTGAACTCTCGCTCTCTCTCTCTCCCGCTCTCTCTCCCTCTGACGAAATCGTGCCGCCGTGGCTATACAAAAATTTCCGCCCGTTCTCAGTAAACCGCGCACTTGAAAGTAGACCCTCCTCCCCCCTCTCACCATGCTGCCCGGCCACCTTTGGGGTAAATGGTACTTGACGCTGACTTTGCATTATTTATTTACGTATATGGCTCTCCAAATGCCATTTTTGCAATGTTAAAACCTGAAACCGGTTCTAATGCTAATTAACTATCAGTTAGCCCAGGCCTCAACACTATTGATAGCCACTAGTATACTCTAAGCACTCGCTAGTATCGTTAACTAGCGTTCACTAAACGGGATCAATATGCCCCCTGCCCCTCCCTCCTAATTGCAGCGAGACATCTCTTGGAACAGGGGGAGCGGTGCGTCACTGAGCACTCGATAAGCGGACAAATCAGACCAAGACACGCCAGCATATTGTTGCTCCCATTGTATGTATGTGCACTGCGGCTTGTTTTCATTTCTATGATAACGAGAAGCTTTAGCTTTATAACAGCACCTAACTATGATATCAGCGCCATGGGCCGTCGATTTGTCATAAAACTAATGTCATTGGAATTTCGTGGCACAATTAGACGCTGTTTTTCTAAGCTTCCGGTTTCCGATCGACTAAGTTGTTTATATTCAGTTTTAAAGTTAACTCACTGCTTGCGAATCCACTCATGCATGCGGAAAATGAGTGGAACTGACGGTAATTGCTATAAAAACAACTTCGAGTGCTCTAGTTAAAAGGGCCCTCAACCCGGTTACAATTCTGCTAGCTTTCTTCTTTATACACATATAAATGCTGCTTCTACTGCTTCTTCTTCTGCTTTCATTTGCCAAACACTATGCTTGTTTAACTTCGGTGCTTATAGTCGGATCTTTTTGAAATTTTCAGGGCTTAAATATGGCATACCAAGGTAGTTGTATACCCAAGCACATGGCTTTAGCTCTTCTTGCTTAAAAATCATTTCTCAGAGTCGATGTTATGCAAGGGGAGGATATGTCGAGGGGAGAAAAGAAGAAGGAGAAAATATATATATCAAGTTCGACCTCTTACCAGAAGTACTTTGCCACGCCAAGTCTGTTTTTTCACAAATATTTCTTAAGTCAGTTGCCAATTGGCGCAACAAACAAAAATTAATGCCACGCCCACCAGACAACACACACATTCGATACACAAGACAATTGTTTGTCCTTCTTATCAGCGACTTTTTAATACAGTTGAAGAACATTGGGCGGACTGGGGGTCAACCTGACCAGGTGCGGACTCCATTGTAGATCTCCCGGCTTCTGGCTATATGCGATCAGAGACAGGCGACGTAAATATTTCGTAAAGAAGAATGTTCGCCCATTGATTTATGAAGAATTTGATACGCGTCGCCAATATGCTGATAACACCTGAGCTGACGATGATGCTGCAGCTGTCCGAAAACTAAATTTAAACAAAATTATCAATTTTGCAATTAATTAACGCCTCGAAGTGCAAAACAAAATATTTCATTGATATTAACTGAATGCGAATAGTAGCTACATCTCTCTCGCCTAGCAACTACTGATAAGGGCCAGATAGTCCACGCACCAGCCCATCAAATTCCCAAAACAAATTCATCTAATTCGATTGCAATTCGATTTTTAATTGAAACGAAAATACATTGTTTACACTATCTGCACTTTTGATTTGCCAAATCCACCACCCTATTCAAATATTCACCCATCTTTTGTACGTTAGGGTGGATTTCTCATAATGCAATTGTTATGTAAATCATTAAAATCCAATTGAACGAACAATTGACTTTCACTCTTGCAACATTTTTCACTCATTTTACACTATTGTGTGTGGAAATTCCACCTAAAACCGACGTAAAATGATCTCGCACTAAACATTCCTACTCTTCTCTCTCTTTGTTGCAGGAAGGTCATAATGCGATCCGTGCAAACGGATCGAAACTTTTGGCGCGTCGGCCGCAAGATTGTGGCCGCCATTTGGGATGCACATGCTCGCATCTATCATGGCTATGAGGTAATCGGCTTGGATAATATACCCCAGGAGGGTCCAGCGTTGATCGTTTATTATCATGGCGCAATACCCATCGATATGTACTATCTGAACTCACGGATGCTGCTGCAGCGCGAGCGTCTGATCTACACAATTGGCGATCGATTTCTGTTCAAGCTGCCCGGCTGGGGCACCATCTCGGAGGCATTCCATGTCAGCCCCGGCACGGTGCAGTCCTGTGTCAGCATATTGCGTGATGGTAATCTGTTGGCCATCTCACCGGGCGGCGTCTATGAGGCACAGTTTGGTGATCATTATTATGAGCTGCTCTGGCGTAATCGTGTCGGCTTTGCCAAGGTGGCACAGGAAGCGAAGGTGCCAATAATACCCTGCTTTACACAAAACTTGCGTGAGGGCTTCCGCCAGGTGGGCATCTTTCGCACGTTCTTTATGCGTCTATATAACAAATTGCGCATACCCGTGTATCCCATCTACGGCGGCTTCCCAGTCAAGTTTCGCACATATCTGGGCAAGCCCATCGACTATGATGAGAATCTGACGCCGCAGGAGCTGCAAATTAAGGTGTGTATGTGTGTTCTTGCTCCCTTTCTTAATTAATGATCGTTGGATTGTTTGTTAATGAGATTTGTCATTTCAGGTGGCCACTGCCATTGAGGATCTAATCAATCAGCATCAGCGTCTGCCTGGCAGCATACTTTGGGCGCTTTTGGATCGCCTGCCGGCATTCAAACGTAATCGCAAAAGCCCCGCCTGCAACTCCAGTAAAGACAAAGCAGACTAAACGATGCAGCAGTCCATCTTCGATTGTTAACAATAATAATAACTGTGTTAATCACTAATATATCTAAACAATTACGAGGGCATTGAACATTGAATCCGATTGTATAACAGATACAATGCGCCGCCATAAGACTTTCGTTCCATGTACTTCATTATAATACATTTATATATATATCCTAACGTGTACTTCCGTCTAGTTGTAACTTAACAATTTTATAACTCGCGCTCGTTTAAGGTTGCCAGCCCTTAAGTGCAATAATCCGCCTTGTATAGCTAATAATTTTTGGTACATAGAACAATACAATACAGAATACAAAATGCTTTGTTAGCCTTAAGTTCGTTGTCGAACAAATGAAATTAAGTAATTAATAATTACTATAATTCGTCTAATTTTTTCGTACTTTTATAAACATATATAAAAAGCAATTTAGCCCTAAATGCTAGCTGTTTGTAATTTCTAATCCCAGAATGGTTCGTGTGCGTGTGATTGCGAGATTGAATATAGCTTCTTGTATTGTGTAAATGTGAAACTAGAAATTCTTATACGTCTAATGGAATTGAAACTTTATTTATAAGCAAAACTTAACTTTATGTTGATTTTTAATTAAAGAGAAAAGAGCCTTTAAAACCACAAGCAAATCTGTTATTAATCGGGACATCTCTATGGGTCAGACAATCATCATCCAGAATTCTTTTCAAAATATCTAATAGCAAAAGGCGGAACTGCTTTATGTATTGGAGGTTCGTGAAAATCGCATAGAAAGGCTTATGTAGTGAGAGCATACGTTCAATAAAGAGTAAGAGAGTCAAAGGAGAAAGATATATATATTAAAAGAAAGATATATATGTATATTAGTAAAACCAGGTGAAAGAGGAAGAGTCAGCAAGAAGCGATAGTCAAAGAGACAGCTCGCTTCCCGTACATATACGGCTTGCAATCTTTTCAGTAGAATGGAAAATTATAGATTTCAAATGAAATTGTTTGAAAATATATGAGAGGGCATGTTCAGGATTCAATCTTTTGACTTATATCTAATCAACTCGAAGTCTATATGAATTATATTATATTACATTATTAAGTATACAGGAATTATCATATACTTAACTCCCTTTTCTAACAATGTGGGAAATGTGAAAAAAAAACACTTTTTTAATTTATACGTTTTATTATAAGTAAATTCATCTATTAACGCTATTTTAAGTAATTCGTCAGAGTTGAAATTTGTACAGCTTATTACAAGAGCAGCCGGAGGGATTGACCCCTGGCAACAGAAGATTATACTTGTACATATCCATGATATCAGAGTACGTACTACACAGTGGTACATATACTACAAATACGCGTATAAGTATCTAGATCTTTGGATAGTAACACTTGGCTAGTAGCTGAAAGCTAAACAAACATCGCAGTGCACACGGAATCGGTTTTAAAGTTTTATTTTTGCATGTTTCTTTTTTGTTTTTCGTGAGTTTATCACAGGAGGAACTCGCTGCAGCCGAAGATGATGGCATTAGAATTGTTCGGCCATGAGTAGGACGACGAGACCGCTCCAGCCGGTAAACGGATTGCAGCCCTTACCCTCGCCGGTGGTATCATCGTACTGTTCCCAGATGTAGCCCGTACGCTGATATTGCCCAAAGATGTTCCTCACCAGATTCTCGCGCAATTCGCCATAGATTTTGCGGGCCAACTCGGCATTGGGGCCCTCAATTTTGCCATAATGACGCAATGCCTTTACGGCCAAATAATTGATGTTTATCCAGATGGGTCCGCGCCAATAGGGCGGATCGTGTTCCGTATTGCGTTTCATATACATGGGCGAGTTCTTGGACAGCGAACGCAAGCCATAGTTCGTCCACAGCAGTTCCGGATCGCGCATGTCGCGCAACATTTTGCCCAAATACGGCGAATCATGGTCCAGCTGCTCGAGCAGCATTGGAAATAGACTCACATAGCCAAACATGGTATCGACAAACTTGTAATCCGGCTGCTTCGTTACATAGCGTTGTTTCTCCTGTGGTGGCTGTGGAGCAGCACCGCCACGGGATCCAGCCGTACGCTGAGTTGTCAACGGTGGCGGCTGTTTCAGTGCCACAAAATCCGTGTGCAGGCCCCAATCGGCATAGTGTTCACTGTACGGATCCAAGTGCAGACGATTGAGCAGCTCATTGTCCATCAGATAGGAGAATGTCTCATAATATTTGACATCATCCTTGCCCAGCAATGTGGACAGCTCGGCCATGACGCTGGCCGCCAGTGCGATCCAGCAGCGTAGATCCACATGACGTTCCCGGAATGTGGGATGCGAGGCGCGCGGATAATCGTCCAGGCCTGAGGACAAGCTTTTCGGATTTAGCTCACGCAAGGTGCTGGCATTGCGTCCTTGCCACAAATACGTGCCGAGCACTTCACCTGCAGCAGGAAGACGTGGGCGTGCGTGAGACAGAGAACGCGCATGCATAATAAAGAGAGAGAGAGAGAGAGAGCGAGAGACTTACCGCGCTGCGTGGTGTTATACCAGTTGAACCATGCCTGGAGGCGGGGATAGAGACGCTCCAGTGTGGCGAAACGACCCTTTTGCGACAGCTGCTCCTTGTGCTGGGCTAGCAGCTTGCGCAACGTCAGGAAGAACGTGGGCGGATTCGCATTGCTGTTGCGCTGCGTCACAAACTCTTCGGGCACCTTGGCCAGCGCCTCGGCGCCGAGAATTTGCTCTCTGGGTATCCAGCCCTCCACGTTGAGCAGATCAAACCAATGGCATATAATGTCCAGCTCAATGTCCACGTCCCAGGCGCTAATCAACAGGCCATGAAAGCCCTCATCCCAGAGAAAGCCGCGCGGAAAGAAGCTGCGCGATGGCACCGCCGTATAGAGCGGCGCCTTCCAATATGGCACCGGATTCTGTGTGTGCACAGATTGCACACGACTGGCTCCATAGAAGTAACCAATGCCGCCAATCATGTTGCTAAATGCGTTCCGTGCGAAGCGTATTTCATCGGGCGAATAACCCTTGGCGGCCAGCTGAAAGGTGTCCTCGAAACGTTTATCAAACTCGCGAATCTTTGCCTGCAGCGAGTCTGTGTAGGCGCGTCCAGTTGGCGGCTTGGGTATGGACTCACCCAAGGCAAAGCCCGACGTCGACTGATAGGTAATGTCCAGCGTAAAGTCAACCTCCGCCGTGATCTGTATGGCAATTAGATTTGGCTCCGGATTCGTTGAGGGCACGCCGTTCTGGGAGACAATCTCACCGGGCAGACCAATGAAGCGGTTGCCCCGCTTGCTTGCAAACGCCCGAAAATGCGCGAATATAGTCTCCTTGAGCTTGCTCAGACCAGATGCCACCGTGCTCAAATAGGATTTGTGCAAAATGCGTCCCTTGACCGCATGGAAACGCACTTGAAACTCGCCGAGGCCTTGGCTCTCGCCATAGACGCCCGGCTCGGGGCTCTTCTCATCCGATACATACTTGATGTGACCATTTGTGCGCTCGTCCAGTGCCACATACCAGATGAGCGATATGCTGCGGTCCCATGCCCGCGTCGTATTCCGCACCGAGATGCGTGCTGTCCAGTCGCCGCCATACTGTTTCTCGCCAGGATACTTCACAAACGAGGTCTTCAGCTCAAAGGGCAGATCTTGTATCTCCTGCACGCCAAAGCTGCGCCCATCGTGATGGGTCCAACCATAACCATCCAGCTTATCGCCCAGCTCGCACCAGTGTCGTATGCCCTGACCGCCTGGTCCCAGATTGCTCGGTGTATACCACATGAGACCCATGACCAGTGAGTGTGGATCGCGGGTCTTCATGCCAAAGTATGTGTGTGGTCGGTATGTGCCCCAGTATCGCTCCGGATCGTCCAGCCCGGTGCGCAGTACCATCTTGTGATTATCAAACGGCGTATTCACGCGCGTCTCTAAATAGCCCAAATAGCCAAAGTAACTGGCTACGGCCAAAGAGACGCATCCAACCAATGTCTTCCACTTGTCCAGCATTAGTTTTGAGGACAAATTGAAGCTGAAGCTTCTGTTGCTGCTGCTGCTCCGCTTGTGTTTGGCGCTAGCTGCGGCTGCAGCGGCGGCAGCAGCCGCCGCCGCTGTACCGGCTGCCGGGTGATGGTTACCCGTTGCGCTCGATTTGGTTGCATTATTATTGTTGCCGCCTGCATTGCGCGCCATCGTAAACGTAAGCTTTAAAATTATATTCTTTCGTTTTTTTGGTTCACACACGTATACAATCCATTCAAGACTGGCTGGCAGTTAGAAATGTGTGACTCGGTTCAGTTGGCAAACTAGTTCTTTTACAGCTTTTCCAAGGCATTCTAGAGCACGACGAAAGCTGCTTAAAAATGCATATTTTACAAATATTTCAATTGATTTAAAATTAAAGCAATTACTCAGCATGCATTTGCAACAGGTTTACATCTAGTTTCATATATTTTCACTCAAATTGGCCAACTTTATGAACCAGAATGGTTCATTAAAAAAGTGTGCAGCACTAACAACCTGACCGTTACCGATATCTTATCGATATATCGCTTGTAGTTGCATCGATACCACGCACCAAAACAGCTGTTTACAATACGTACAAAACTTTTTTGTTTACACAATTTTGTGTGTGCTTAACGCAATTATGATGGATACGAATTCACTGCACAAGCCCAAACGTTCGTTTAAGCGCCTCTTTGCGTTTCCCAGGAACTGCGTCTATCGACCGCTGCGTCAAATTCACAACATGGAGCGCAATCAAAAACCTCCAGCCGATCAGCCGACATGTACGTGGGTAAAAGGCCAAACTCTGGCGGTCACGTTATTAACATTTTTCGCTTCACTTCACCAGACTTCACGCTCAATGCACCGCCCTCGCTGCTGCCAGCCAAGAAATACTCGGATATTAGCGGCCTGCCGGCGCCCTACGTCGATCCGCACTCAAAGCTGCGCTACGCCAATGCCGATGAGTACGCCTCCATGCAGCATTTGCCCTCAGACATCATCAATGGCTACTTGACCCTGCGCGGATACACGAGCGCCGTTGGCTAGCAACAGCGATGCCAAGCTTTGGCAGACGAGCAACGCAAAGTTATAGATCTAGGTTAGGACACTGTAAAATAAGTTTTATATTTGTATGCAAATATAGTTGAGTAAGTGCATGAGATGTTCTCCGTAAATATAAAGTATATATACTATGACAAGCAATATTTGTTCAATTTAATTTTATTTAAATTATAAAATGAGATAGAAACCGGGAGTAAACATGCGTACACTATTATTCAACTAGACACATTTGAAAATCACATAGGAATGACAAATTTTTGAAAGGAAGGTAAGATAATGAAAGTTTTATAAAAAAGAGAGAAGCACCAACAAATTCTTAAATAGCTTTATATAAGAGAAAGGGCGAGGAAGATTCGTAGGAACGGTGTATGAGTATTGAGGCATGAGAGCCGAAGTGTGTTATCGAGGAGAGAGATAGGCGAGAGAGTAGATTAGAGGATAGAGTAGAAAGAACAAGGGTTTGTTTCTTTCGAGCCTTACTTGAAGCCATGAGAATCGCATAGAAAGGCGTTATTATAACCTATAACAATTATGTATTTTTATTTGCCGCAAAGCGTTTGAAGTTAATAATAAAGTTAACTAAAGTGAATATATGCGAATTTTGTTGCTCGAGCTCGCAGTCTCTGAGATCGTTGCGTTTAAGGCAAAAATTGATTTAAGCCGACGCCCAACAGTATTTTCAATAATAATAATATGCGATTTTTATTTATGATAATTATATATAAACACTTTACAAACTAGAGCTAATTGTGTAATTGTAAGTCCAAGCAAGTTTCTGAAACTGCATTGTTTATTACTAGTTTTTTAGTGTCCGTGTGTGCGAGTCTGAGTGTGTGCGAGTGTCTCTCTCTTTCTCTCTCTCTCTCTCTCTCTCTGTTTCTCTGTATGTATATGTGTGGTGTCATTTGATATTTCGAGCACTTTTGGAAGAGATCGGATGCATTGCTCGACAACTGGGACTAGTGCAATCCGCTTCCATCAAGCGTTGTGGAAAAAGCGTGTAAATTAAGCTAAATAACTGTTGTCATCTCATGATGTTTTTTAACGCATGCTTTTTTGTTTTGTTTTTAGTTGCCTGTTCTTTTGTTTTGTGGCTTGTCGCTGAAATACGACAAGGGGGCAACGATCCGAGCACCAGGTGTCATCAACCGATTGTATTTTTATCTATTTCCAACATGAACAATAAATGCTAGCCGGCCTGATTGATGGGCCGGGTAATACTGTTCGGCTGTGTCAGCATGTTAAGATCCGCCCGAAAACTGCGCGGCAAGCCGGAAATGTCCAGCTGATGCTTCAGCACCACCATCGTGGCAAGCGTTTTCAGCGTGGGCTCAAAGTCCAGCACATGCAGATCGCTGTAGTCAATCAGTGTGGTGGTTGCAGCTGCCGCTGCAGCTGCTCCTGCTGCTGGTGGCGCTGCTGCCGGCTGCTGTTGCAGCGGCGGTGCCGCCGGCGGCTGCGTTAGCTCATTGCCGCGCAACACTGAGTTCTGCGATTGTGGCATGGAGCAGCGAGGACTGGTGCCGCCAAAGAGGAACATGCGCGTGCCCATGACAATGGCACACTGACGTCGTCTGGCCGTCGGCGCCTGGCCATTGGCGCGCACCAGATTCCAGAGTTTGGTGCGCGGATCGAATGTGTACAGATCGTTGAAATGCTGATCCAGCAGACCATTATAACCGCCAAAGACAAAGATCAATTTATTGTGGACAAACATGCTGTGACTGCGCCGACCCACTGGCACCTTGCCGGCGGTAAAGGGTCGATGCCAGACCTTTGTCTTCATGTCCAGATAAACAATCTCGTGACAGTAGGTCTCCTCCTGACTATGGTATGGACTGTGCTTATCGCCGCGCCCACCAAATATATACATGCGCTCCTCCTCGTATGCGACGGCCGCATGAAAATCCCGATAGGTCGGCGGGACACCGAACGTTTGAACATAACGCCATTCCATTGTCTCCAGATTCAGAGCATGCACATCGCTGCTAAACTCATTGATCTCATCCACAAATCCGCCAAATATGTACATGCAATTGCCAATCACACACGCCGAATGCCCATCCCGGGCGCCCGGCAGGCAACCGCTTACCGCCGGGCGTGCCCAGCGCGCCGTCTTTGGATCGAAGCAGTAGAGCACATTGCACAAATGTTCATCGTTCCGGCCGCCCCAAATGTAAATGCGCTCCTTGTAGGCAACCACAGTGTGGCCATAACGCTGGAACGGCACCAGCGGATACTTGAGCGGATCCCCGTCGCTGTCACACTGCTGCGGCACCAGAGTCCAGCGCATCGAGTGCACGTTTAGCACATGCACATCGATCGGTTCATTGAAGCGATAATCGTCGCCGGTGCAGTAGCCACCGAAGCTATAGATGAACTCGCCGACGCCCACAGCTGCATGATTCACGCGCTGCGGACCACCATCGAGATGCACCGTCCACAACATGCTTCCAGCTTTCTGCGAAAGAGTAGACAAGATTAATATTAAAACTGGATTAGATTTCCTCTTGCACACATATTTTCTAAATCTATATAATTTATATATGATATACTAGCGAGCATTACCCGGCGTTGTTCGGCGGTGAGCTACGACTGAGACAGCTACCTATAAATATACGAAAATTGAACTTTCGCTTGGATAATCTTTATTTAACCTTCCTATACCCTGCCTGGATTCGGACGCAAATTCCAATTTCGCCTATAATACACTGGACTCCGATTTGCCAACCAGGTGATGGGTTTTTTGTAAAGTGTGAAGCACATCTTCAATCAATTGTCTTGCCAATGGGTCGGTCATAGTTTTCACCTATTTTCCACACTTGAGGGTGGAACTCTAAAAGTATGTGACTATAGTGGGCCTTGAGCATTAATCAATCAATCAATCAGTCAGTCAAATCCACTTATTTTCCGACAAATCTAACGTTTTTGAAGGTGAAATTTGAAAAAATAAATAAATAAATAAAAGCTGGCAGCAAGAACTTTAACTATTTGAAAGATTTGTTGTTTCTATATTCTCTGCTTTAATTCAGACATTATTTATGTTAGCAACTAAATAAGCAATTTAATTGTTTAGCACTCAATTAAAGCAAATTGTTGCTCAATGATTTTGTTACACTCTTAAGTGTATAACATTGAGCTGAATTGAGCATCAAGAATGTCTTATTGACTAAGCCGAGCACTGGTCGAAGATACTATCAGACCATATCAGATATACGACCTTTGCGATCTGACTTCGAGGTCGAGATATTGAACAGGCAATAAAATGAAAAGTAATTGTATGGTAATTAAATTAAAAGTGTGACAATGAGAATCAAGCGTAAATCGATCAAAATGATAACATTTTGCGTAATTATACGAATCAAAAACAACAAATTCTCATGTCTAAGAAATAAGCAAAGCAAAAGAAATCTACGTTTTTTTCTTTTTCTCTCTTAAACTCCAGTGAACCCAGCTAGTTTCGGCTTGCCTGAAGTCATCCGCAGGTTCCTTGATGTACAGATACATATATACACTTGTGTTATTCATTTGTTCACATTTCGCTAGATAAAGTTGTAAACAAAAGTAAGCTGCTTGGTTTAATTCAATCAAAAACATTTGCAGAGCTGCACAATTTGCAAGGACGGGACAGGCGATATTGAATGCCAGTCATGTGTTGTTGTCCTTTTTTTGTGGCTTGGCACGAAATGTACCCACCGATATATGCATATATACACATATATATATATATATATATATATATATATATATATATATATACATAAATATTTATTATCTGGTTAGGGGGCCTTGGGTTTTGCCCACTTATTAACGCTTACCTCACACAAGCAGCGACTATTGCACTGGGCCAGCGCCGCCTGTCAACTGTTTTTTAATTGTTGTTTGTTTTGCACACTAACAGAATGGTAGCAATTTGTAATTATTTCACAGCAGTTGTGCAGCCTATTTGTTACTTACGCCTGGGTTTTTTCGTAAGGCGCGTGCTGTGTTATGAGAATTATGTGCTTTTCTTTTTCTTTTTTTTTTTTTTTGTGCAGCAGCAGCAGCAACTTCTTTTGGGTAATTTTGTTGCTGAATATCGATAGTATCGATATTTCAATAACGATATATTGTGCTGAGTGTGACCAGAGTGGCGCAAATAATTGAACTCTATTACAATTCCCCACACACAACGCAAACACACCAGCGCCCCCACAGCAAAAAAGCACGCAAAATGAGCGAACGCAAACAAATATTGTATTCGGTTCAATAAATTGATAGAAATATTAATGATGCAAAAGTGTTGCATTAGTATTATGCAAACGGTGTGAAGAACCACAATTAAGTGTCATTTACTGAGTGGGTCGTTGTTGCCTCGTCTCGTTTGTGTGGTGTGTGTGTGTGTTTGTTTGCGTGTGTGTGTGTGTGTCTGTGTCTGTGTATCGCACAAAACAACACACAAGAAAACTGCAACTGCAACTGCAACAGAACCGTAAGTTGTTATACGTTTTTGTGTGGCAAAATTTGCCATTTGTTGCTGTTTTTGTAAAAGCTTGAAATTGCGTGAATATACATACATGTGTTTGATGTACTTACATATTTAGTTGCTACATACATGCATATATATATAAAATTCATATGTATGTAAGTATATACCATCTTACGTATGTTTGAGGCACACTAGCTTTGTTTTTCCCTCTTCTCCAGCGCTTAGACACATATACATATACATACACAGGCAGTGTAGCAAAAACAACAATAAGAAAAAGTGTTGCCACTGCAACGCAGTTTGCTGCGTATGGAATAAGGTCCAAACAAGAATTTTTTGTCATAAGCATTTGTGTTTTTATGTCCCCGTACATACATACATACGCATGAACATACATATGTGTGTGTATGATAGTGACTGCATGTGTTGGGAAATGCGCGGGGGACTGCTGCTGCTAAACAAATTGCGTCTTTTAGCAACTCCGAAGTGCGATAAACATTAGCAAGTGCGAAAGAGAGAGAGAGCTGCGTCATTAAAGTTCATTCATCTGATCTCTCTTTCGCGGCCTTTTTTTGTTGCCCCCACTGTTGCTTCCAGTCTCAGCTGTTCTTAGGAAGCCAAGGACTTTACTTCTCTGTCGCCTGGTTTGTTTGTTGTGTTTAAGTATCGAGCCATGCGCATACATATACATATACAGAGAGCAGCTGTATTGCGCATGTGTGTGTGTGTTTCGATGCGTCGGCAACGCCACCACAGAGACACAGCTGTTTCTGCGCTGTATTTTTGTTTACGCTTTCTCCCTATCTTGGTCTCTCTCGCAGTCTCTCTCCGTAGTGGCTCTTGCTCGCCCTCACATACTACCCCGCTTGGCAGCATTTATGCCGACTGCGTCGCTGGCGTCGCAACGCAATAAATTTGGTGTTGTTATTTTCTTTGCCGTCTGATAAGAATATTATTTTTGTTTCATCAGCTGTTGGATGTTGTTTTTTTGCTTTCCATTCTGTTAACAGATAGTGCCAAACGCTGTCTGCTTTGCCCAAAAGTAGCGCGCATTTCTCTGTCACTTTATATACAGTGCTCGTTCTTCAACGGTAATTCATAATTCTATTTGTTACCACATACACATATACATACGCAACTTAAAGAGCATTGCCATTGACGTTATTGACCCCAGCTAAAAGAAAGACACCACGAAACCACAACAACAACACAAAGTGCCCCGAGCGCGTGTGTGTGTGGTGCGTGTGGCTTTTTGTTGTTGTTGTTGCCCTATCGGGCTTTCCTCTTTGTTTCAAAGAAACAGTCCGCTAATGCTGAGTGCCCGAATAGCAGATACCCTGTACCTAGTTGAGAGTTGCCGTAAAATACGTGCTTGAAAAACATTATTTGTTGATATGTAAACAATTATTAGAGCTTTCGAAAAAATATTGGAAGCTATTAACGGAGAGACAGACACGGCCAGATCGACTCAGTTCGTCTTCCTTGTCAAGAACACATATGCATATACTCTAGGTGGTCGGAGTTGCTTCATGCTACCTGTTACATGCGTCTTCACAAACCAATACACCCATCACTTAACCATTTGTAATGGGTATAGGGTAAAAAAAAAGACGACGCAAAAGTTCTATTGACGTTTAAGGCGCGCGCAAAATGAAAGCCCAGCGGGTGAATTACAATAACAACAAGAACGATAAGAAACAAATGCTGAGATTGGGGGCGAGTGGCCAAAATTAAGTTTTTATGCACACACATAGCTGTAAATGCGTATTGTCAATTGAATAAGAACATGCGGTTGTCCGACTCTGAATCAGCTGCACAAAGCTTGGTGAGCGCCAACAGTTGCAACAGCAACAGCCCGGGGGAGTGCAGAATGTGGATTGAACAAGGTAATGCCAGGCAGCAGTACCAGCCAGTCACCTCGTCGGCACAAAAACCAGCAACAGCAACAACTTATCACACAACGATACAGATACATTAGCAACACAGCGACGTTCTTACCGTTATTCGCCACATTGTATGAAAATACAGTGGGGCCTAAAATTATTGTGCAGGCTCTAAACATTATTTATTAAACTATGCAACCTTTTGGGCTCCAGTTTTTAGAAAAAAAAAAACTTTAAATTAGCAGGGTTTTATACTTGATTTTTTTTATTTTTTTAAATTAAATTTATATATGTATATTACTACGCAAATGTACAAGTTTTTATGGCGGTGAGTATGGCACGCATGCCCAATGCTGCCGCCACCTCGTTCGCGGCTGTTGCTGTGTCATGGCGCTCCGGTCTTCATATGCCCACACTTAGCACCAACAACAACAGCAGCAGCAGCAGCAGCAGCAGCAACGACAACATCAACCAGAAACACAGCTACAGCAAAATCAAGAATATTGGGTTAACATTTCTAACGGTAATTGGTGCGCAGTGCACATAGAGTATTGCATTCACCTTGCGCATTCGCACACAGACACCCACACACCTATGGGGGGATACGCGTTGTTATTGCTGTGAACTATGTAATTGCATGAAGCACTTGACTGCGTTCTCAGATTCTGCTTTCTTGATTGCATTTAATATGCGTATGCGCACACACACACAAATGTCCATGTACATGTATTTATTTGTCCATTTTGCAATTGACGCGCTGCTTGTTGCGTTGCTTTGCGCTGCAGTCGTCACTGCCACCTGTATGCCACTTTGTTGTTGTTGCAGTTTTCTTTACTTCTTTGTTTGTTGCTGTGCTGCTGCTGCTGCTGCCGTTGCTGCTGTCGTCGCTGCTGCCGTTGCCTCAGCTGCCGACAGTTGCCAACAGCGCACCGCAGCAGCGACGCTGCCCGTCAGTCGCTTGTTACATTTCGCATAGCGCGCTTTGGTTTTTGATTGCAAAATAAAAGTGAAGTGGCAAAGCAGAAGGCAGAAAGCGGGCCCACGCAAAAAAAAAAAACAAAAAAAACAAAAACCCAAATAACAAAAAATAAATACAAATTAATAGAAATCAAAACGTAAGCGAGTTGGTGCCAAAGAACTTTTAGCTTCCTTTTCTCATTCACACTGGTTCACTGGCTGGTTCACTGAACTCGCGAATTTTCGGCAGCTTCTTTTTTCTTGCTCTTCTTGATTACGGTTTATGTGTGATTGTGTCGTGTGTGTGTGTGTGTCTGTTGTGTGCTTGTGTTTGTTTTGGTGCAGTGCAAAAATAAGGTCTCATTTAATTAATTAACTGTTTAGGCGCCAAAGGTTGTTGTCGTTTCGTTAATATCGCACGCTAATTAATATTGAGAAACTGCCACCTCCTCTCCCATCCTTTTGCCCAATATTTATCTCTCTCCCACTCGCTCTCAACTTGTAAGCAGTCAACGCTTTGTTGTCTGGCCAATGCAATGCGCCAGCAGCCACCCCCCCCCGGCCAAGTGCATTTCCCTGTTGCCTCTGTTGCTTCTTTGTTCGCGCTGCTCTCACCCACTCGCCTTCCCTTTTCCCGGTCGCTCCTGTTTCTTTGTTTTAATCGTCGACTTTCGCGTCAGCAGCCAATTTGCATTGGATATTGAACAGAAACCCCAACCAAGACGGCGACGATGATGATATTGTTGAGGGCTTGGCAACACCACGCAAAAGGCAACAAGGGTGTTAATTATGGAAAATAGAGCGTTTGCATACATACATATTTATATAGGTATTTACTACAAATATTTACACATACATACATATGTACATAAATATTTAGAAGAGTTTACAGAATGTTTCGGCCAATACGTTTCCTTGTAATTCCCAAGCTGTTAAAGCTTCATTCCCAGAAGTCGCTTGTGCGGCGGATGCACAGTGTCCACTTTGTTCAAGACTTGACCTTGTATTGCCTTGTCAGAATAGTGCTAATAGATAGATGTATTTTGTCTGTGGACGACAACTTACAGTGAATACACTAGTATAAAGTTTTGCTGGCTGTGAATACACTTCAGATATCCAGATGATCTGTATGGGCTAATTATTAACTGAATGGACTAATATACTTATGTTGTTGAAATTGATGCGTAATGGTTTTCAACAAAGTATCGCATATATTGGTGTATGACTGTATTTATTGAGCCATCTATCTACACACAAAAGCCACAAAGCAGAAAGTGCGGACACTGTGCGGGAGATGGCGCTGATTGGGGGACTATGAATCATTTGGTGCCGCTTTTGGAAGGCAGCTGTTTACTGTAAATGCGGACGCATCGCATCGGTAGCTGCCTGCTTGGGTTGCTCTCGTTAGCTGACTCGCTGGCTAAGGCGACGAGGCGCACATAAATCATAGAGTAGCCCCAAAGGCGGACTAATCGGAATACCGCCTGCATATCATCATTATAATTGACTGCTATCTTCACCCCTACCCACCCCCACCCCCCTCGCTATCTTTCTCCGTCTCTGTCTGTTGCTTTCTATAGCTCTCTGCTTTTGAGAGGTCGAGTCGCCTCCCAAGCCCCTACGAAACGGTTTAGGACATGTGTTTTGGTCGGCTATTAGGCCACATTTGTAGGTTGGCCCAGAGACTTGCAAATGGAAATCAATAATGTAAATGCACCGGCCATATTGTGCTCTTTTTCTTGCGCTCACTTCCTCTCTTCCTCGCTGCTTTGTTTTGGTCTTTTTGTTGTTGTTGTTGTTGTTGTTGCTGTTGTTTCAACAATTTATATATGACTCGTATGTACAGAAAACTGAACTACATTAATAATCATTTGGCTTTGTCATTGTCTTTTTGTCTTTGGCAGGAAATCTGATATATCCCGTCTGTACACACATACATATGCATAAATATACACACTACAAAACAGAACGCACGTGGAACAATAGCAGCCGCAGTCGCAGTCGCAGTTGCAGTCGCTGTCGAAGCCCTCAGACACCAGACGGAGACACAGGCTCAGGCACAGTCCCAGGCACAGGCACAAACAAAAGCCAACGACATTGGATTGTGGCTTTTTCTGTGACCCACGACACTGGCAGACGCTGGACATAATCGTTCAATGACAGCAGCCACAGTTGCTGCCACAGTTGCTGCCACCGCCTCTGCCTCTGCCGCGGCGCCGTCGTCCTCATCGTCGCCGTCCGCTGTAAGCAACGCGCGCAGTTAACGCACAGCAGCAGCAGCAGCAGGAGACACTGTTTGATCCGGTCTCAGCAGGTGAGGCACATGACGTGACAAATGGCAGCCTTGAGAGCAGCACAGAAAGCTCAACTAGGGTTAACCTATGACCAGGTTAATAGTGTGCAGATATACCAAGATAAATCCAAATCCGACTAGCTTACGTCCATTAAAAGATTATCCAGAGAATATTTTTGAAGCGAGTAGAACAGACGGTCTCCTACTCCATTAGGTATACTTAACATGATCAGGATTAACAGATTAGTCAATATTCTATGTACGCAAGACGTGACAATCGAAAAGCTGAAAGGTGTTGCTCTCAACTCTGCATATATTTAACATATGAATTGACAATGCGAAGCAACTAGAGCTAATGTTATTTGTGTTTTACAGCGGACCAATTGACAGCCAAGAAGTGCACTTCCCTGTGACGGATACGGCTGTAGTTCAAGACTATTTACAGACAACCAGCTAAAAGCCAAGCCACACACGCCCAAGGCACCAAGCCAGCGATAGGAAAACTAACAGTAACAGAAACAGTAACAGCAACAGCAACAGGAACAGTAACAGCAACAGTAAAAGTAACACTAACAGTGACAGAAACTGTAACTGGAACTGTAACTGCAACTGTAGACAAACCAGCAACAATGGTGAAAACCTTTCAAGCCTACTTACCGTCCACAAATCGGACCTACTCATGTGTTCATTGCCGTGCGCATCTCGCTTCACACGACGAGCTCATCTCGAAGTCGTTTCAGGGCAGCCAGGGGCCGGCATATCTTTTCAATTCGGTGGTAAATGTCGCTTGCGGCCAAACGGAGGAGCGTGTCCTGCTCACTGGACTCCATGCGGTCGCCGATATCTACTGCGAGTGCTGCAAAACGCCGCTCGGCTGGAAATATGAGCATGCGTATGAGTCCAGTCAGAAATACAAGGAGGGCAAGTTCATTATTGAGCTGGCGCACATGATCAAGGAGAATGGCTGGGATTGAAACAAAACGTCGGCGATGTGGCGCGCGTGATGTGGCATGTGGTGGGCTGGCAGTCCGGGCGGCTTGGGTAACGTTAATAATGCGGCAACAACGAACAGTTGATGATGGCACATGTGAAAAGGCTTGAAGCTAAATGAAGCAAGCAAGCGAGTACAAGTGCCAGTAAGAGTGAGACAGATAGAAAGAGAGAGAGAGAGACGGAGATAGACGACAGCGAGTGCCGGAGGTTTGATCGGTCGAGTTGAGGCGCGAGTTCGAGTTTTAGGGTACCACAATATATATATGCTATTATATAGTACATAACTCGTCGTATCTTAGAGAACAAACAAAAACACACACAGACAGACATACACACACATACACACGCACATACAACACAGACCACACACACTCTCTCATACACACACACACAGCCAAACACACACCTCCAAAATGGCAGCTGCTTTACTGGGCTTGGAGAGATCTCTGCGCTGGGCGCAACAGCAACTTGAGCTGGCGCCATCTACCGGCCTAAGCGCCAACTACTACTGTATTATTTGTTTTGTTGCCGTTTCGTCGCGTCTTTTATTTGTTTATATATTCCTTTTGTGTTTTTTTTTTCTTTCAAATATTTTCAACTATTATTTATATGACATTAAGCTCAAAGTGTCTAGTAAACAGTTTTAAATGCCCATTTCTATTTTTGAAAACTTGAAAAGCTTTTTAATTTTCATTTAACAGTTTGAGTTTTTTGACAAATTTTTGGTTGCCACCAACACAAAAAGGAACACAAAAAACTTGCACTGCCAATAAACGAAAAATTATTAAAAATGTTTTTGTACAAATGCAACAAAACGACTAAAAATAGGAAACAGACGCAAATTAAATGCAAACGGCATGCAAAATTAAAATGCACCCACAAAAAACACAAACACAAACATAAACAAACACAAACACACATACACAAACACACACATGTACACCTTTTCAATGTAGTAGTTATTTAAAAAAATATATTTAAAAACGTAATTATTTAATGCAATTTAGCTTGAAAATCTGCATAAAATATTTAAAACAAAAACAAGCGCAAAGAAATGCAAAAAAAAAAAAACACAAGAAATTAAAACAAACAAAAAACTTAATAAGAAAGAAAAATACAAAAAAAAAATTTAAAAGAAACAGCAAATTGTGAATGCCAATAAAATAAATTAAAAAAAAAAATAAATTATGCAAGTGTACGAATAATAAAAGAACAATGTGTGTAAATCCAGACGCAAGGTGGCGCCACATAAGTTTATTATGTCTCAAGTGTGATGTTGCGCTAATTTTTGTATTAGTCAAAAATAATAACAATAATAATAATTGAAAATATGTTCTCCTGCAGTGTGAGCATGAGGATTGCTTGGGGGAGTGGAGTTCAAAATTGCAAGCTGAATATGCACAACAAATTTATGAAATTTGTGAAAGAAATAATATAAAATACATTGCGCAATGTGCGTATAAATGTACATATATATTTATATATATATTGATACTTGTTCATGTCGCAAAAATACCGTAAATTAATTGAAAACAAACACACAACAGGAAAATCAAAGAAAAAGTGCAAGCAGCAAAAGCAAATTTTTAAAAAATTAAATAAAATATATATATGTATATATATATATATATGCAAAATAACTGCCAAGAACTATTCGAGTTAATGATGTTCTCTAAGTAGTCGATAACTAAATAAATGAATAAAAAAAAAATATATATATATATATATATATATATATATATATATATATATGTGTATATACTATATATATATGTATATGGGAATATATTTTGTGGTCGCATTAACTAAAAACAAATGGAAAAAATAAATAAATATAAAAACGAATGTCGAGCATACAAGCGCTGATAAGTAAAAATCATACAATAAATTGTAATCTCTTCAAAAATTTTGCCTCAAAATCAAATTCAACAATTTTTGGGTAATTGTTTTAATTATGCCTACAGGTTGCAGTACTTAATGCATTAAAACTGTAACAAATTCGGCAAATTAAACATTATTTATCTGGAAATCATATTTTCATTTGGCATTCCAAAAATGAGCTAAGAAAAAAAAACCCAAGTTCAATATTCAATCATTTGGCAATCATTTGATCTCCTGTTTAACAATTTAAATTGTTTACAAAATTTAAAATCTACATAAATATTTGAAGTGTATTTTATATAAATGTGTTTAGATTATTATTTTTAAGCAAAGAAACAATTAAAATTAAAAAAAAAAAAACTGCTTCATTTAAATGTAATTGGAGTTGGCAAAATTTGCATCAATTAGGCTGAATTTTGATCAAGAATATATATACATACTTTATCGTATTAGAGATGCCAATCGCAATGCATCTCACATTATTTTCATCGCGTTTGATTTGTGCAAACATCAAATACATGATTATATATTGTACTTATGTCTAAACGAAGCATACTACTTATGTCTTATCCATACAAAGCAAAAGATCTGCAAATCGCGATCTTATCGCATTGCGCATAAACATAAACAAACGATGATATACATACACATATAGAACTATGTATTTACATGCAAACGTGATATAGTAAATTGATGTATTGATGTAAACCTAAGAGATATTATATGCACATATGGCATATCCATGTGACTGCAGATTATCCTCAACATCATCGAGCACTGGATATTTAGTCATATTGTGAATGAAACCACCTTTGACATGTGCACCGCGCAGTGTACACTCATATTCGTATTGGCACACAGTACAGTCGACAACCAATATAACGCACACTCCCACGCCACACCACAATCAAAACGACAAACAATATTAAAAACAGTTGTGTTGGATACACGATAGCTATTTAATTTGCAAACAGATGAAATTCAAAAATGGATATGTGCATAAATAAATATATATTATATATATAAATATATCTATATATATATATATATATATATATATATGTTCAGGATTGCAAGTTTGAAATAAAGCGCATTTCTAGCTTATCTCATGGCATATATTTTACTATGGAACTGGGTTAGCTCATCATAAAAGTGGGATAATGCTCAGATAACAAGCTGATATAAGTATATAGAAATTGTATATTTAATGGGCACATACACACATACAACAACGGACAAAGAGCACAGGTGAGTGAACTCACCTTCTAACGCACAAACTTAAGATTGTGGCTCCTTGAGAGCGACGAGACTACAAAGCACATTCAGGATAACTGGGCACATGTACTGTCTAAGTATATCAGGCTTAAAGGATCTTAGAGCAGGGACGATCCGTTCTGCAAGCACAAACAAAAAAAAGAATATAGCCCGCTAGTTCTATATGAATATACTTATCATAAGCAATATATTCAGTAAAACGGGCAATTATAAATACAAAATAATTTTATTAAAAGGCTTGCAAAGATTCACGTTCTAAAGTTTGAGGGAGGGCGTTGGTTCAAACCGTAAAACGAACTACCGATAATTTTGTTTGGCTTTGCAGCTGGAATAATCGAAATATAAACAAGAAAGTAAGCGCATATACGGTACACCGAAGATTTAATACCCTTGAAGACATTTGCATTGCGATGTTAATGGTGAGTTTAATAAAAATATTTTCGTAAGCAGAAGATATTGCCATATACCTTTATACTTATAAATGCCGAGTTGTACTTAGATTCGATCGATCGTTTCTATGGCAGCTAAATCATATAGTGGTCCGATCCGGCCAGCTTCGACACTGCAATAGCAAGTCGGACCTGCAAAACTGAAAGGCGAGTTCGCCTGGGAGCAGCAGACAGATGGAGAGACGGACATGGCTATATCAATCTGATCTATAACATATATACTTTATGATTAGAGATTAGTGGTTATTTGGGATCAGAGATGTTCTTAGAAACATTGCCTTAAGCCCATAAGTCCCAGACCTAAGTTCTTTAAAAACGAACAGGGTTTTCAAAAAGCAAAACTATATATGATGGTTGGCCAAGTGATTGATTGATGGGTATTGGAAGGATTGGCACTGGAAGGATAACTGCTTGGCCCTTACCTCATATGATATTGCGGCTGGGACACCTGTAAAGATGGGCCAAGCCGATTCAATCCAGTCAAGGAGACCCGTTTATCCACAGTTATGAATTCGGCTGCATCTTGGCCAAAGAAAAACAAATGCGATCAGCATCTGTAATGGAAGCTGTTAAAAAGTTGCCCATGACTTGTTTTAAGAACTTACCACGTGCCTGGATAGAAAATAAACTACAATTATTAAAGCACAAATATGTAATGTTCGTCATGAATATGGCATGAAATTTAATGCAAGCTTAAAAAAACGATTGACAATTTTTGTACGAAGCTCAACATGTTATTATTGTGGGTGGGTGTGGGTGGTTGGTTGTGTGTGCGAGTGTGTGGGTGGTTGGGTGTATGGTAGGTAATGTTACTGTGCAGCAGCATTTCATTCAAATGTGTGGCGAACAATTGGGGCAAACACAACACTACTTCCACTTGTTCTGGCTGTAGTCCCACTTGGATGACAGGCCCGTTATTGGCTGCATTTGCAAGCCAATTATGCGACGCAGTTGCGCCTGGCGGCGCTCCTCATCAAAGGTTTCTGGGAGTTCATCGTAGATCAAGTTCACCGCAAGGGTCAGCAGAATGCTAAGGGCAATTGACCATAGACCGATGCCGACAACCAGCTTCCATTCGGGAGTAAAATGTTGAAATTCCGAATAGGTCTGACAGAAGCTATGGCGATATAATGCCTTCTTCTCCTGCAACGACAGCTTCTTCCAGTCGCTCAGCTCCTTTTCGCGCAGCGCACATATCTCCGGCGTCACCTCGCGATACCGTATGGCCGGAAGTGGAAAATCGGCGCAATCAATATAAATGGGATTGCCATTGACGCCATAGCCCACGTACTCGCGTTCGCCGCTCATACAACGGGTACCATCATGATGGGTGAGCCGGCGCATCACAGCCGGCAACATCGTCATCCGGCCAGCACTCGGACGACAGGCAGCCGCTGCAGCTGCAGCTGCAGCTGCTCCAGGCACACGCAAGCCAGCGCAACGCAGAGAGTTCATGATGGAAGCACTGCACAATGCAAGATCGCAGACATATGTGAGGTGTGAGGTGTTTCGACGGCTTACCTGAAGGTTCACTTTCTACTTTTGTACTAGCAAATCGAAATTTTGTTGGCAATTTGTTGGAACAGTTTTCGAATTGATGCCCTGTGCTTCAACTACAGGCAAATAAATCTTACTGACTATTTGAGTGTGTTTTTTTCTCCTCATCTGGCATTTGACAGCTTGCTAGGGTTGTCGTCTCTCAGACAGACGCGCAGGGCCTTCAGCTCTATTTAATCAAAGTCGGCGAGGGGTGCCCAAAACCCAACGACAAAGTCGCCAAGTGTTGACAGCCAAAAATGGAAAACAAAAGGAAAAACCATATTCACAAACGCACACACGCACAACTTTACATTTCTCCAACAAGGTTGCCTTTTCAAGCCAAGTCAAGTGGCAGCGAGGCAATGAAATGAAATAAAATGAAAAGAATAGGCAGCTAATCCTTTTGACAGCAAGACCCAAGTGGTTGGAAAATGAAACTATAAAGAATGAGTCCGTGCGCTAGGCAGGACACAAAAAAAAAAAAAAAAAAAAAAAAATACAAAAAATAAGAAATAAAGACATGTGAGGGACAGTCGTCAGACCTCCACCTTCCCCAGCTCCGAAACAGTTGTCAAAGTTCCCTCAATTCTGACGTAGGTCGATTTAATTTGAAGAGATTGTAAAGCTGAAATGGTTGTATCTGCCTGTCACACGCCCACGTGCCACACCCACCCTTTCCAACCTCACGTCAACTAAAATAAGGAACTGGCCCCATACCGAAATATAAGCATTCGTTTTGT